GGGGGGGGGGGGTTCCTGAGTGGCGCTGGGGGCCCACCGCGGCGGTGCTGCGCCTGGCCCCTGAACAAGAGTAGCGGTGCTGCTGGAGGGCCGCCCTCGCGGGGAGCTGGCCCAGCCTGGCACCTGTGCCTCGGGGCACCGCAGCTCACTGCCTCACTGCCAGATACACCTGCGGAGCCGGGCTGACCGTCCCCAAGCTCAGAAAGGAAGCCCAGATGGCCGTGCTGGTCCTCAACTCCAGCTGCACGTAGGACCGGTCTGCGAGGCCTTCTAGATGGGCAACGGGAGGGTCAGAGGCGGGGGGCAGTGCAACAGGGTGACTGTGGCCCATGCATGTTCAGACAGTTTCGTGTCAGTTTCCAGTATTCGACTGAGACCAAGAATCACAGGCCTGGAGCCCTGGAGACAGACTCTGGGCACTTGACGCCTGCCCCTGCTGCCGGGCCCCAACCACGGCTCCGGCTTGGGTCAGGTTTCCCTGCAGACCTCACCCCACGTCTTTGCAGATATGGACGCTCGTCAGGCTAACGAAACGCGGGCCTCTCTTCCTGTCACGGGCCTTGCAGAGGCCCGTTCTTATTTCACGTTCAGACTGCACCTTAACATCTTAGAGAGGGCTCCCCAAATCACGTAAGGTTCGGATCCCACCTCCGTCTCACAGGGAAGGTCACGCATGGTTGGGGAACAGAGGTCTGCTCACAGCGTGCCAAGGGTCTGTCCCTTTCCTCTGCCCGTTCGGTCTCTGGGTCAGTTATGCTTGGGAAATTCCTGACACTCTGGAGCTCCAACCGAACCCCCAGCAGCACCCCAGATGTGCCATCACGCCTCCAACTCTGCATGTCCCACACTGCCCTCCTTACATCCTCTCACATGCCCCGCTCTGGCTGGGACCCATCTCGGATTCCCCTGCTCCGACTGCCACCCTCGCGCCTCCTACAACTGGTCAGTCCCACCTACCTTCTCACCATCTCTTCTGTGTCCCCCTCTCCACCCCTATGACTGAAGCCAGGCCTGAGCCTCCCCACCAGCTCTGGCCCAGGCTCCTGCGAGGATGCCCCGGGTTTGCGACTCCGGTCCTGATTTTCTCCAGCCCCTCGTGCACATGCTACCAGAGCGATGCTTCTAAGACAGTGAGACTCCTATACGGCCTGACTCCTTTAATGCCCTCACCGACCCTCTCTTCGAGCACTTGGGAACACCAATGGCGCAATTATCACCTGCCTCGCTCCCCGAGGGGCCCGGCCAGGCCTTGGACGCATGACAAACCTCAGCACCGTCCCCTCTGCTGGGCACAGAGCAAGTACGCAACAAACGTTTTTCTGAGCGAATGAATGGTGCGCGGGGACTCCGATGGCTTGGCTTGCCCTTCAATTAGTAGGAGACTCAAGAATCCCAACTCCGTCCTCAGAGGCCACGGAAGCATCAGTCGTTTCCAATAACAACTCAGTCTGAGTACAGCCAATACCCTGAATAAATTTACCGACCCTTTAACATTTTTCTTTGGCTGACCTGCATAACACATGAGAGTAAATTCTCTCATTCAATGGCTGATCACCGCCCGCCCTCCCCCCCGCCCGTGGCATCTACTTGTCCTGATCCTGAAGCCTGCTGCACAGTCCGACAGGGATAGTTACAATTTACGGAGCGTCTGGGACATGGTGGGTGCACCAGGGACGCGGTGCCCCGATCTGTCAAGTGCTATCCCATTAATTCCGCAATCTTCATGAGTATCTCAATTAGAGAAATAAAGCAGGCGTAAGCATATTAATAAATTAAAACCTGAACGCCGATGAATGCTTGTGAGCCTGTCTTTCCGATGCGCACAGGGAAAGCAAAATTCAACTGCTGCGTTTTGACAAACCCTGGTCACTGTCTGCGGTGCACACTGGCCTGGATCTTCCACCAGCGTAGGTGATCACAGGCCTGAGGGATCGTGACCAGGGTTTTGTCCAAGGATCTAGGAGGGTTCATGGCTCTTGTGAGCAGGAAAAAAAGGCCAGGCAGGTTGAAAGGAGAGGACGAGGGATGTCAAAAGAGAGAGGGAGGGAAAAGTGAATGCAAGAAGAAAAAAAAACAAAGAAGCTTACAAAAGGCCATGTGGAAAAGGGACAGAGGGAAAACAGGAAGAAACAGACAGTGTGGAAGAAGCATAGACCCCGTGACCGAGGAAAACACAGAGTAAAAATAACTCGGGGTCTAATTCATGCCTTGCAGCGTTTAAGGAGAAACCCAAGAGGTTTTGGATTTAGCCACGAAACAGTGTGCCCCTGGACAGGCAGGTTCCTATTGAATTGTCCCCGAGGGAGAAGTCCCCCCTCACTGGCTCGCGATCTTTTCTTTGAACTTGACTGACTTACTGATCAATTGAGTGAAAATCCTCCCCAGCATGGGGCCATTTTTTTTTCCCCCTATCATTTTAATAAAGAAGCTGGCTAAGGGCAGATGTTCAGCGGATAGTCTACGATAAGCTCGGATACGTAGTATGGATTTCAGTCCTGTTCGTGGATAAAGAAGCTTGGAAAGCAATCTGGAATGACATAATGGACCAATACTGCTTTCTCCCTCCTAAAGCAAGTGTGGTTTTGATAGACTTTTAATATGTATTTCGGGGTTTGAACTGCAAACCGTCTCTCCATTATTCTCTGCCAGACGATCTGAATGACAGCTCTGGCCCAGAGATATTTTTCCATTATAATTTTTCAATTTGTTCTGGTCTGAAAAATGTGTGTAAATGAAAACAGAGAAAATTCAAGCACTGTGCCCCTTTCAAACACTCTGGTTTGTATTTACAATGACTCTGCAGACCCTGTCCTGCTTCCCTTGTTTTTTGGCAGATGACCTTATTTTTTCCAGATTTCTGATCACTTCTAATATGCCTTAAAATATTTACTGGATTTGCAGGAATGCCTCTAACTCTTCCTTATTTTTCACCCTGTTTTGACCTACAATTTCTTCTTTTAGCTCCCCAGCATCCAAAACAAAACAAAACAAGGGGCATCTGGGTGGCTCAGTCGGTTAAGTGTCCGACTTCGGTTCAGGTCATGATCCCACGGCTCGTGAGCTTGAGCCCTGTGTCAGGCTCTGTGCTGACAGCTCAGAGCCTGGGGCCTGCTTCACATTCTGTGTCTCCCTCTCTCTCTGCCCCTCCCCTGCTCATGCTCTTTCTTTCTCAAAAATAAATATTAAACAAAATGTTTAAAACAAACAAAACAAAACAAAAAACACAAAGAAACACATAAAGCAGCTTTGTAAAAGCTCAGATTGGCCTCAAGATTGAAGAGAGGTGTTCTCTCTCTTTCCCAAGTACACGAAACCCCCGCCCTCCCCCACTAGGAAATTAACAAATAGGACAGTCCTTCAAAGCCCTTTTGCCAATCTGCTTTGGGAGAGCTGGGCCAGTCTCCTTACCTTAAATAATTATAACAGCTCAGGTTTCCCTAGTGACCGGGAAAAAAAATATTTACCCGGGAACTCAGACTGGATTACTGTAGAGTAATTTGTATACACTCCAATTAGCTGGGGATTGGTAAACCTGGAGGCCCTGAGGCTGCATCGTGTAATATTTTTACTCACTTCTCTCTGAGAGCCAGACACCCACAGAGGAGACCATGCTTACCTTCCTCGGCTTCACTTTATCGTGGTAGTCATACTGGAAGATTCCTTTGTAGCTCAGTCCCAGCCACCACGGTATCCCCTGCTTGTCCTAGGACATCGAAAGGAGTATGGGTAAATACAGGGCCAGAGAACACACACAGGGACGGAGAGAAGGCCCCTGGGCTCGTCCGATGACAAAGGAAAACGTAAATCCCTTGACATGGATGGAGCCCACCTCCTACTTTTCACTTAACAGATGTGCCCCCTCATCAGACTGTGCTCAGTTATGTGAACCAGTGCCCTGGAGCATGCCCTGGGGTCGGGACCCAGCTCTGTTCCCAGCCAGCAGCACGCTGCGGTGCTTCCCCCTTTATGAGTAGGTAGCGAAGGCTTGTTCTTTGTCCTCCTTGTAAGGCTTTGGGTTTCAAGAGAATCCGAGAGATGCTGAGCATTCTCATAAAACGACCTTCTGAGCAGAGAAACAGTCATCGACTGTCACAGCTAGAAGGGACCATGAACACCATGGAAGGGGACTCCTCTAAAAAACTTTTTTTTTTTTTTTAAGATTTAATTGTTTTTAGAGAAGTCTGAGGTTCACAGCAAAATGGAGAGGTAAGTACAGAGATTCCCCATACCCTCCCACCCCCCTACATGCAGAACCTCCCCCACTGTCAACCTCCCCCACCGGAGGGGAATGTTCATTACACCTTGATGAACCTACACGGATACATCATGGTTACCCAAAGTCCAGAGTTTACATTAGAGTTCATTCTTGGTGGTGAACTCTGTGAGTTTGGACAAATGCATAATGATGTGTATCTACCATGATGATAATATACAGAGTGGTAGCCTCACTGCCCTAAAAATCCTCTGTACTGCCTCTTCACCCCTTCTTCTCCCCTCTCCCAGGTTCTGGAAGCCAGTTTTGCCTCTTCCAGAATGTCATCTAGTTGGAATCATACAGTATGTAGCCTTCGGCTTGGCTTCTTGCACTCGGTAACACGCATTTAAGATTCCTCCAATTTAAATTAAAAAAATTAATGTTTATTTTTGAGAGAGAGAGAGAGAGAGCGCGCGAAAGAGAAAGAAACAGACAGTGGGGAGTGGGGGCAGAGAGAGAAGGAGACACAGAATCCGAAGGGGGCTCCAGGCTCTGAGCTGTCAGCACAGAGCCGGAAGCGGGGCTCAAACCCACGGACCGTGAGATCACGACCTGAGCCGAAGTCGGATGCTCAACTGACTGAGCCACCCAGGCACCCCAAGATTCCTCCAATTTTAACGACCAAGAAATCAAAGCAAACGGTTGGTCCTGCTCTACTCAGGGCCCGCCCCCCAGCCCTCCAGCAGACCAATGGCAGTGCAGGGTGGGCGGGGGCCACCCTGCAGTCCTGCTCCCCTTAAGAGATCAGCTGGATTGTGTGACTCGTGCCATCTTGGACAAAGTAGCAAAATCAAGGCCCAGACCTTCTGGGAACCGAATCAGAAACACCAAGCCCCTCTGCTCACTCCTTTAATAGAGATCCCTTGCCACCAGATTGTAAAGTGTGATCCTACATCCAAGGAGGAGGGGTCTGAGCTGTTAACTAAAGGTCCCGAATGCTAGGAGCTGACACAAGGCATCCCCAGCAGCCTCCCCCTAGATTTGTCCTAACTGCCGCACCTGCGAATAACCGCGGACCCCCATTGTCTCGACAACTCGAAATTGGCTTCACGGTTTTTAAATCCTCACGAGTTATTTGAAGGTAAGCACAAAGATAAAAGGGCAGAGAAACACGTTTTGAATTTTTAGAAGTTTCAGGGTATGTAATTTCCTAAGATAGTCCTTTAAAGGTATAAAAAGCTCTGTCCCTGGAAAGTGTCTGTGTGTCCTACATCAGTCTCTGAGAGCGACACAGGAGGGGACTCAGTGCCACCACAGCTTTGGGTGTCACCACACCAGAGAATACGGCAGCTGTGAAATTGGGAGGCTACCGACTGGCGGGGCTCGATACAGTCGTTTGGGCTTGCGTGGATACGTGTGCTCTGTCTCCACCTGAGGAGGAGAGCCCTGGCTTCAGCCTGGAAGTCCCAAGAGGCCAACACACAAGCACTTCCGGCACTCTGGAAATCACAAGGTCTGTTTCTGGTCTCTCGCAAACTGCAGAAAAGCACGTTCCTGAAGTTTTATTGTAAGGCAGAAAGCATATATGTATCACAGGCTCCCTTACTGTCAAACTCCAGGGCTGACGAAGAGATGGGACACGGGTTTACGCAAGTAAAAGACTGGATGACGTCCCTGCGCAGAGACATCCACTGTTTCCATGACAATCTCTCTCGGCAGTCTAACATCTGTCTTCCAACAGATGTCTGTCTGTCCAACAGTCTTCCAACAGACTTTTGTCGGGGGGGCTGGAGGGGTGAATTTCAGAATCTCTATTTTCAGTATGAGCGATGGAAGTGAGCTCAAATTATGAACAGACAGCAGATGAGAGAGCCTAGTCCAGGGGATTTCTTGTCCCTATTCTTGGGCACAGCCCCCTTTGCTGCACGTCCCCACAGAATATTCCCACAACGGAGAGGAGTTTCTATGAAATGTGTAACAACTATTGTTGGATCCCAAGATTTCCTTTATGGTAACCAGATGGTGACGGGGATGTAGACTCTACAACCCTCACTGGCTGTGTGTGGAACGCTGGCAGCCAGCGCGGGGAATTGTGAGCCTCAGGTCATATCATAAAGTGTCCAATTTTCCTTGGGGGAGCCAACTACCTGCTGACTTCAATGGGCACATCTCAAGGTGCCACCTCATAGAGAGCTGGTCTCCACAGTGGATTCACCTTCCTCGAGTGGGACAGGAGACGCTAAAAAGGCCAGGGGATACTCCTCATGACAGATTTACAGCTGAGAACTTCTGGGCAGGAATGGCTAGGACAGTTCTAAGAGTTCCATGAATGATGGAGAAGAGGGATTCAGGCTTCCCTCGGTGGGGAGAGCTTTGGTAGGACATCAGGAAGAATTTAACCATTTCCGGCTTTAAAAGATCCTGAGCTGAGAGTCGGTGAAGCATCTGACTTGGGCCCACATCATAATCTCACAGTTCGTGAGTGGGAGCCCCGCGTCGGGCTCTGTGCTGACAGCTCGGAGCCTGGAGCCTGCTTCGGATTCTGTGTCTCCCTCTCTCTCTGCTCCTCCCCCGCGCTCTCTCTGTGTCTCTCAAACATAAATAAACATTGAAAAAAAGACCTCAGCCGAGCTGCTGGGTAGGACTGGGGTTCCCGCGTGTGCCTCATAACCAGGCTCCGCAAATACAGTTCCAACATTCATTACCATCACGGAAGGGGGACATGCAACTGCCTAATTTAATTCTCAATAAACACTTATTTAGTCAATATTTACCGAGTATCTACTGTGTGCCAGGCACTTACAGGGCTCCGGGAATGAAAAAAGGAATGCAACACGCTGTCCTGGCCATGAGAAGGCTGCACTTTAGTGGAAGATACAGGCAACGAAACATACAAAGTGCTGTGCGAGCCGCAACGAGTGACACAAAGATAAACGTAGCAGAGAGCACGTTCTAGTCCAAGGGAATTAAAAATACAGCTGGATGGAAACACGGGGAGAGAAACTGGTAAACGGGCAAGCGAATCTCAGGTTGGCTGGTTGAACTGTCTAGCGTTCAGAAATGTTTTCATTTCAGCTGGACTTTGGGCAAGGACTTAATCTTTCCATGTTGGGGTCAATTAAAGGAGGGAAATTATCCTGTCTCATCACAGATAAGGGCACACGGGCATGTCATTATCTATTATTTCAAGGAAGGGATCCCAGTGTGGAGCATTACGGTAAAACCAAGAAAAATTGAGCATAGGGTTCATGTTCCATGAGACTTGCCATCACAACATTTAAGAAGACACATCTTGTCTTCTTAAACAGCCATGTACTTAATTTGTCAGCCTCTAATGCCGGCCCTCCTCCTCCAAAATTGCCTGTGTGGCATTTGACCACCAAGAAAAACATTGCTGATTCTGCTTAAGGTTTTTGTTCTCCACAGTTCACTGCCTTCAGAGGGAATCGTCCTACTGAGAGGCTCTGCGGTCCTGACGTCCCAGGATTCTTCTGAGAATCAAAGGAAGAAGGGACTCATTATACCCACTTTGCATAAGAGAACATGAGTTTTGGAAAGTGACTGCATCAAGTCTTCCGACGTGGGGGGAATGTTCCAGCGCCCAACCCTCCTCAGCACACAATCATCTCGAGCAAGTCCTCTATCATGCCTATCCGTCCCCACCCCCCAAAATCTTCAGTAAGATTAAAAAGGAAAAACTGAGAAGTGTTTCTGTTTTTTTTTAGGGCAGGGTTGGTACTTACTTTCACTGCATAATAGTGAACCCCGTAGGTTGGGAGAGACTCCACGATGCTCATGTAGCTGGGAAGAGAGAACACACACACACACACACACAGGTGGTTATTCGGCAGGTCTGGAATCAGAGACATATTTATGTGTGCGCGTGTGTGCGTGACAAAGCTCTCAGAGTGATTATTTACCTGAAAATTGAAACTGAACCCTCGTCGCCCCCCGGGAGTTATGTGTCTTTGCGAACAGAACTGAACAACCCTGCCACATGCTATATGTACACACACAAACACAGCCTCGTGGGCACTGGGAGAGGCCACTTACTTTACAATTGCTTGACCTCTGGTCTGGCCGTTCAGTTTCTTGTAGTGCTCAATGACTCGGTCCTCACTAGAATTGCAACACAAAGATGGTGTTACATATGGTCCATAGGTCAACGGTCAGCACCCTGCTGACGGAGAACCTTCTTCCGAACCTGAGCAACGTCCTGAGAAGTTCCAAGGAGCCAACAGCTCCTGGAGAAAGGATTTGTCCTGAAGTCAGCCTAAGTGAGGTGTTTTGGGCTACAGCTTTACTTGGGGTCAGCTCCCTGCAAGAAATGCTGCCATGGCAGATGAGGAAGAAGCAGTGAGCATGTGTCTCCCTGGAGAGGGACACAGAGCCGGGGACAAGAAGAGGCCGGCTGGCTGGGGATCAGGGGGGACGCTGTGGCAGAATGCCCACATCTTCCTCGTCCTCTGCATCCCCTGGATCCTGTCTGCACACGGCCTCACAGGGGAGGGCAGGCGCTGACCTCAATAGAATGCCCACGTCTTCCCTATCATGAATTAGTGGTCAGCGTTGAGGGCTCCCAAGGAGGATGGAAAGTTCTGGAATTTGGGCCTGGCTAACACAATCCATGAGGCAATCCAAGGCCCAGAGAAGCCCTGGGAAACAATGAGGCAGCTACCAGAAGTGAGATGGGAACGCCACGATGTCCTGAAATCTCAGCTCTAAAACAGCAAGAGACTGGCTTGTGCCTTGGGAGACACCCGCCAGCCAAACCCCTCTTTGACAGGGTGGGGGGCACGAAGGGACTCTCTGAGAAGGGACTCTGGTGCCCAGACAGCCATGGCAGCTGAAGCACAGAGCCCACCTGGGGAGTCACAGGGAAAGCACATCCCACCTGCAGAGGAGTCAAGTCTCCAGCAGCGTCGTGTTCGGGCTGGGCCCCCCACCTCACCAGACCTTCAGAGCGAGACCTTCAGGGTCTGCTCTTCTCTCTCCCTGCCCACCCCCTCAATCAGCGGCTGGGCTGGGCGTGTTTCCTAGCACAGGGTTTCGAATTTTGTGAGGTCAACCTGTGGATCCAGGGGTAAGCAACTCAGGGGCGACAGGAGCCAATTTCCTTCCCAGTTTGGGGAGAGAAGGTCCCCGGGCGGCAAAGGCGAGATAAAAATCAACATAGGGCTGTAGCTGCGAACACAGTCGAGGCTCAGACAAACACTGGTTAAAGTCAGAAACGCCGTCAGGCAGCTGTTCAGCTGTTTGCCAACTAAATGGCTTCTCAGGGCTTGACAGCTGCAGGAACCTGCCGCCCCTCGTTTCTCTGTACCTCCTGCTGATCCAGGCCATCTGTGAGACCGCGGTATGCAGCTTCTCCTTCCCCAGCTCTCCCCGCTCTGAAACACCATGGACCCAGCACGCGCCATGCTGACTGAGAACCCACTCTGCTCCCTGCCCCCCTCCTCCCTCCTCTGGAATTTACAGATAGCCCAAGTGCACTGAGCTCTGTGGACAGTTTCCCAGCTACCCTGGATCTCTGGTAGGGAGTTATCGATGGGATAACTGTAAAAAAGGCACCAGCCACAGAATCCCAAAACACTATTTGGAGGACACTGTGTTACATAAAGGAGGAAGACAGATGATTCCGACCAACTGTGCCTAGCCACATCATTCTGGGAGATCATCTCTCTGCAGGCAGCGGCCCAGAAAACCCACGGGGATGGAGATATGGTTCCCTGTCTTGCAGGAGCCATCGCCTGCACTGGTCAGTGATTTTGGAGTAAAGATAGATGCCCCTGCATACCCTGTAGGGGTGGTTTGGCCGGGGGGGGGGTGCCCAGCATTTGCAAGCTAGGCCCTTGAGAGAATCCAGGTCAGGGCCCTGCTACTGCTCTGTTTGTTCTATGGCCCTGGGCGTGTAATTCTAACCGTCTGCGTCACCTGTCCCCCGATAGGGAAATCCCATGGAATAGAAGTCCAAGCTGGTTACACGCTTGGGGAAAATTAGTAGAAAGCATTACTGCACGATTACTCAGCATTATGATGTACCTTTCACTACATGCTACTTGCATTATGTGACTTCTTACTTCTGCTCTTGCTTACAGTCTGGATCCAGTAGGTATGGTTAATTCCGCTCTATGGGTGGGAAATTGAGGCGGCAGAGAAGTAACTGAAGCTTCCCGTGCTATTCAGAGACATGGCTGGGATTCTAAACCCCACAGCTTTGCTCTCTAAGCTGTGATGCCTTTCCCGACTAGTGTGGACGGGCTCCCTATGGCTTAGTCCAGCCTAAGGGTTGTCTGCCGCATCCGTGAAGTCTAGCGAGAGCGGGAGAGCCTGGAAGAAGGGCAAATATCCGTCGCCCTTCAGGGACGATCAGGGCAACATGAGGCTGTGGGCAACCTGACAGACTGTGGTGTCAGAGCGAGTGAAAGTCTCTTCCACCGACAAGGGGTCATGGTTAATTGTAGAGACGCGTGATGATGCTGTGGCCGAGGAAAGTCTACGGACACGCAAGTCTGTCTCCGGTCTACGAAGCACGAATAGCATTTATCCCTTCCTGAAGTCTTTGCTTTTTAGAAATCCAAATGAGTAGGTTGGAATATAGAGACCGACTTCAACCAGCCAACTGCAGTGAATAAGGCATTTTTTCGGCAATGCACCAACAAGATGGGCCATGCGGCTGGCGTGTCTGTGCATAGGCTGGGCTGTGCTCCCTGAGGGCACCTGTTTCAAAAATCTCACTTCCTCCGTTCCGTGTCTTCCCCGTGAGTACACACAGGGGCACGGGTGCCACTGGGTCCAAGTGAGGCCCAGGGAAAGCGCTGGCTGGGCCCCAGAGATTGGAGGGGTGTCGGTAAAGACGAAGCTGTTCATACGAACACAAAAGACGAGAGCGACACGAAGGAAGACATTTCTGTATTAGAAGTAACATGTGAGCGTGGAACAGACTGTGGAGATCACGAAAGAGAGAAAGAGAGAGAGAGACACACACACAGAGACTGGGAAGGAGCTGGTAAGCATAGGGTGTACATGCCGGGAAACAAATGAATGAGGAGGTCGCTGAGGGATGGTTTAGATTAAAAGCAACTCTGACCCCAGAAAACCCAGCCCCCGCCTGGCAAATTCATCCCCTTCGTGCAGGAACTACTGGTCTCCAGAACTATATTCTCGTGTCTCTAACTCTTTCACCATTGGTATCCCCAATGCGAACAGCTGGTGGGGGAGGGGGACACGGACAATGAGGCCCAGGGGACACGGGGGACCGGGGAGAGGGCAGCACGGCTCCATGAGTGAGGGGACAGGAGCGTCGTCTGTTGGTGTGCACAGGTGCAGGCCGCCAAGCTAGCAGCGTGGGAGCGGACACATGCACAGGTGAGTCTGCAGGTGAGACAGATTCTGTCCCTGGGGGGGCAGGTTAGGCTTCTATAAAGCCACCATGCATTCACCTCTATGTTTGTGCAGGACGTGCGGCAAAAAACCAGCTCAGAGAGACGAGATGGTGGGGGACGGGGGGGGG